AAGTGTTGGTATTAATTGATTCGATTTATAAAAAAAGAATGGCCTACGTAGATTGAAGTATCTTGTCTCAGGGAGGAATAAATCCTTTATTTTTTAAATCACTCTGATTCAAACTAAAAATTCTCTGAAACTGACATTCTTGCCAACTTGTTATTTTATTCTTATGAGGCTGACTTCATATAGCAACTTCTAAGGAAGAAATTAAAGAAGTTAGCAGTATCCTTTAAGTTTACTTTATATAGATGACATTCTCTGACTAAATAATTAAAATGTGTGACTATGTTGAACGCATCTGTTCCATCGAACTAGAGATAAAGGATATAACAGAGACACTTAAGATTGTCTTATATCTTGACTTACATCTAGAAATTGACAATGAGGATCGGTTGAAAACAAACCTTCACGACAAAAGAGATGATTTCAGATTCCCAATGTGGACCTTTTCATTTCTATGTAGCAACAGTCCAGCAGCTACTGGATACCGAGTATATATCTTCCAATTGATACGAAATTCATGGGCTTGTATTTCCGTTCGTGATTTCCTTGATAGAGGGTTGCTGCTCACAAGGAAAATATCAAACCAAGAGTTCCAAATGAAGAAGTATATATGAGAAGAACATAACCCATATCATACATATATAAATGTATAACATTTTTGTATCATGTGTGTATCATACAAGGCACAAAAATGTCGTTCAAATGACGCGATAATTTTCTGCCATTCATTTCAGTCGACATTCTTTAAATTTGTCCTGATATGCTTGAAATATTTGTTATTTGATGTTGGCCCATTAACAATCATGCGTTAGTCTCCATCAATATACGTTTCATTATAACATACATATATGAAAACACATGTTCTCAAAATGTCACAATAACACTGTTATAATAATGTAAAAAACACTCGTCAAATAAGTAACTTTATAGTGCCTAATAAATTTTTGTAAGATAGACCAAATTGGTCTTAAAACCTCGTATTGAATTTCGATGAACAGATCGGACATATTTTTACTGAATACCTATTTTTTTCTGTTCTTCTTTTTTTTTTCTAATTATAACATTGTAATGAGACTAGAACATTGATTTTCTTTTTGTTGAGATACACAATAATTAATTTTATTTGACTAGCCGTGTTTCTTCGAAAAATAACTTGTTTAATGGAATTAAACGTCTGCTTAGTAATTCATTAGTTTTGTTATTTTGGAAGGTGGGGGTAGGCTTTTAAAAATTATTTATCTACTCTATACGTGGAAAACAAAAGTAGCGACAACTTTTACCTTTCATACCTTTAGTTTCATTAATAAAAACAAAAATTAGGGTCTCATCCAGTGTCCAGTTTGGATGTCATTTAAGTTACTGTACACGTGTGTGCACATGTAAAAAGATAGTAAATATCATTAATTCAGTTATAAGAAAATAATTTCTTTCAGATAAGTTAGTTTGTTTTAATACATTTTCAGGTTAATAAGTTGAAGGAAAAAAATAAATTTTAAGGCACCGACTATTCATCTTTTTTGTTACAGTCATGCTCGTTCTGATTTAATCATACATTATGTTTACAAGTATGAACAGTTTTAACACTTTAAAGTTAAATTTATAATAACTTAGTCCAATCGAATTGCGTAAAATTTTACAAATGTTTATAACAATTACCTGTCCACATCTTAATAAGTGGGTAGGGAGAAAATGACAGATATTTTGAAGATCAATTTTTGTAATAACGGATAAAAATTCTTCAACCAAAAGTTTTGTATAATTTCAAACACATGTCGTTCTGCATTTGAATATTTTTTCCGGATCTTTCGATTGCATATTTAAGGAAATAGAACGTTTGGGCTCAAAAATTCTACATAATTATTGACTTTTATACACAAACTGCGCCCTTATAAAACACTTATTTGTTTTAAAAATAGTACATGGATACAAAGACATTTAATTTTCGAAAATATTTCAAAATATTCAGTCTGATTGGTAAATTTGTATTGAAAGAAAGTGCGTTGACAGGAACAGTGAACAAAAAAACATCTAATTCCCTCATAAAATCACACACTAAAATGGTTATACAGACAGTGCCTATGCATTATATTCTACGTTAACGTGCATTTTCTATTTACACAACATATTTTTCCATTTACTTCATTGATCCTTATTTTCTAGCTGATGACTTATCGTGATCGGTTCTATATTTATCGTTATTAAAATACAAGGTGACGTTAGCCACTTGCTTATGACATACATCCTGTATTATATGATTAAATATATAGTATTTTAATTGCGCAATGGAGTCTTGTTTTATGGTTAACAAGTACATCTTGATTAAACACATGTGTGTACGACTGAATATCGTGTTCTGAAAAGGGGATTTAATTTTCAAATCATCCGTGTTGACGCAGTAGTGGTAGGAAAACTAAACTTTGACGGATATAGATAGCAATATTACTAGTAATACTTTTTTTGTAATTTCGAACGAATGTAAACTGCTCTTCAAAATAAAAAATCAGCATCATGAAAGGTCTTGAAGAAAGAAACAATAAATATCTAGCAAGTTATAATATAGCAAAAATGTGTTTTTAATAGATCATCGTGTAGACTTTCTGTAAGTTTACGAAAAGCAACGTCATGATCCGACTGTATTGAGGTTCATTTTTCCTTTTCAGCAAGTAATATACAATGCAATCTGAAGTATGCAGCGCCTTGTCCTTGATCTAATCTATAGAGAAATTTGTGTAATTGCACAGTAACTTAGGGGGTACATACTGGTACAGCACCGAGGGATCCGAAGGGATCCATGACACAAGGGTAACAGTTGGGTACTCTCAGCCTCTACTTCAGGTGCATCCCTCTCTTCCTGTGGAACGAACAAGGCATGGAATCATACATTTAGGACCTGGCGAGGTTAGCAGGGATTGACACCTAGTAGGAAGGTAAAAGCACACTTGGGGTAACCGTCCAGCCCAGCGAGATAAGCTAAATAACACTTTAGAGTACACTTACCACTTCGTAGTCTGATTGATAATTTGCATCATACATAAACATAACCGGTACGCTCAAATGGTTAATTGTTTAATGGTAATGCTATGGAGAGTGTTTTAATGCAAGTATATTCATCATCACACACTGTTGGGCATTAGTTTTTCCCTGATTCAAATGTATCAAAATGTATTCTTTTTGTTCATGTATATACTTTATAACACGACCTTTGATAGTTTATCTTTTATTTTTTAATAGCATCAGCACTGGCAATCAATCACTTTCTGGATAAATTCTGATAAATGTTGTTTGATATTAGACTATTCGAAAAACTCAACAAGAATAAAAACACCCTGATAGCTATTAAACCTTAAAATGTTTTCTTAGTCCACCTTCTATTCGTATGAATATTGATTAGAACAACTGCTGTATTATGAGAATTATAGAAAAAGGCTTGTAAAAGTTTATTTGTATGTTCTGTCAAATTTTGCTACATCAAAACTTCTCTTGTATTGGTTGTTGCACTATTTTTTGTCAAAAACGATTACTGGTGATGTATATAAGAAATTTAATATGCTTTGACAGACAGTAAGATTAAAATACATAGAGGCTCCAAAGAACATGTGTCGCTCACCTTGGTCTATGTGCATATCAAACAAAGGACACTCTCCAACATTGTAGACGAGAATAGACTTCATGACAAAAATATTTATTTTGTTAATCTTGTATTACTGATATGTTTAGTTTCTCTTTATCTTCTTCAGTTTTTGCTTAAAACACAAAAGTGGGTAAATAAAACCCTCATCTAAGAGCAATCACTCCTATGAAGAGTGACAATCTTACAACATTAGCGGCAACATTTTACTTTTTAATAGAAATTGCCTTGCTGATTATTTTTGTGATTTGAAGTGTTTATTTATCTGTTATAATTTAAATCAAATAAGGCATAACGGAAAATCAATGGTTATCTCTAAATTTCATTTATGGGCAACAACTCCTTTAGAATTTGTCTAACAACTTTGATTTATATGGACAATTGGCAGAGCTCATTATTCTGAACATTTTTGCTCATTTCAGATTTTCTCTTACGGTTTGAAAAATAAATGACAAAACTTGCATTTTACCCCTATGTTCTATTTTTAGCCATGTGTGCCATTTGGTTGGTAAGCAGGGTCATCGGACACATTCTTTAAACTAGATACCCTAATGATGACTTAGACCACGTTTGGTTAAATTTGTCTCAGTAGTTTCAGAGGAGAAGATTTTTTGTAAAAGAGTACAAAAATTACAAAATAATTGTAAAAAATTGACTATAAAAGGCAATAACTCATTCAGGGGTCATGACTATTTTGGTCATGGTGCCTTATTTGTAGATCTTACTTTGGTGAACATTTTTGCTGTTTACAAATTACAGTTTATCTTTATCTATTATAATATTCAAGATGATAACCAAAAACTGCAAAATTTCCTTAAAATAAGTAATCCAGGTGCAGTTACCTAACAGGTGGTTGTCTGATGCGTCTGAAAATCCTAAGGCAGATAGATCTTTACCTGATGAACATTTGTACCTCAAACAGATTTGCTCTAAATGCTTTAGTTTCAGAGATATAAGCCTGTATTTTACCCCCCATGTTCTTTTTTTAGCCCTGGCTGCCATCTTGGTAGATCAGCAGGGTTTTAAAACTAGATACTCTAAGAATGATTTAGGCCAAGTTTGGTTTTATTTGGCCCAGTAGTTTAAGAGGAGAAGATTTTTCTAAAAATTACCGGACGACGGACGACGACGACGACTGCCGACTGACTTCAAATGATGAGAAAAGCTCACTAGGCCCTTTAGGGCAAGGTATGCTTAAAATCACATGCAATTGAAATTCGTTCCCGTGTTTGGTAATGAAAAAGAAACCAAATCGAAAGCCACGCTGTATCGCGATTTAACAAAAAACTGTACCGTGAACAAATTCTACAACAGGATTAACATGATAGTATAATGTTTACTCTATCACCATGTGTTTTTTCAGTCGTGAGGTATGGCGGTCCAGTAAACTCTTAAAATAAGATTTATCACTCCCTATAATGTTTATTTTTGGCAAATGTTTTTCCAATGATCTATTTCATACAAAGTATTTCTAAATTTGTGATAGATTATTTAATTTATATTATACAATGTTTTGTATTATGTGTGTATTTATATGATGTGATGGAATGAATCAATCAATTTATCTAGAAACGATGAAAACATGGATCGTCGGAGTAAGTAAAATATATTGAAAGTTATCTTCTAAATTTATTTTTATATTTATAACTACTGAAATTTGTATTCATCATTTAAATTATTGTTCAAAATTAATCCTGTCATAACATCTATTCTTTTAATTTATATAAAAAAAAAAGACTACTGGTTCCTTTTATTTATATGTGTTCCACACATTTAAGATAAATATCTTAATAAAAGTTTAGCAAAAACAAAACATTTTGACTAATTATGCTGATGATAACCTTCCATAATACACATATAAATATAGACATGTATCTTTAACGATGTGTTAACTGTGTTTTTGTTATTACATAGATAAGCTTTTGATGAAATCCAACCAAATGGGGTAGTAACTTCTCAATTTCATTATAGTCGAAGGTTACGAAAACATTCAGGAAAATAAAAGTTCACATATGATTCCTCTAATATTAATGTCCCAAACCCAAATATATCAACTAAACACGTTTTTTTTTTTTTTTTAGATTTCGAATTTGATCTGCAATTCCTTGTTATATTTGATTTGGCTAAATCATAAACATAGAAACCAATTGTAATCTCCTTCAAATATATTTTCTAATTTTCTATATGCTAATGGAGTGGTTGATTAATGCGTTTGATGTTTTTGTTACTCATCTTAATAATATAACATGTATAATGTCAATTATTTGTCAATAAAGTTTTATAAGAATTTATTGTCAATTATTCATATACTTTGTGGTGGTGCTGTTTTCCTAACAATCTTGTATTTTTTCAATTGCTTTATTAGTATAACTTATTTCATTCTTATATTATTGCAACAAGTTATTTCCTACTTACTTAGGACATTTCCTTAATAATCCCGATGTGAACAGATTAATTAGATGAATTTATTTAATATAAAACAATGCTTTCAATATTTTTAACTTGATTTCAAAATTTAACAAGATTAACAATGCATTATGAAGTGACTCCATTACATTGATGTATAAGAAACCCATCGTTATCGTCTTATCGAGTGATGACGCAAAATAGGTTTGAAACTTTATACGCAATTATAACACTTTGGTTACACGTCATTGACAAACAATAACAATTCAAAAATCAATATATATATTGAAAACAATCATTTAATCTGTTTGGTCATACTCGTGACTAATATATCTTACATAAAAAATACCCAAACACTAAACGAAACTTCGTAGACATGATGATTTAGTAATTTATGTTAGATGTAAAACTGTTAAGAAAATATAGCTTTTGAAGTTAATCCTATTTATCATGATGTCTACGAAGTTTTGTTTTAATTAGTGTTTGGGTATTTTTGATGTTTATTTTTGGCAAATGTTTTTCCAATGATCTATTTCATACAAAGTATTTCTAAATTTGTGATAGATTATTTAATTGATATTATACAATGTTTTGTATTATGTGTGTATTTATATGATGTGATGGAATAAATCAATCGATTTATCTAGAAACGATGAAAACATGGATCGTCGGAGTAAGTAAAATATATTGAAAGTTATCTTCTAAATTTATTTTTATATTTATAACTACTGAAATTTGTATTCGTCATCTAAATTATTGTTCAAAATTAATCCTGTCATAACATCTATTCTTTTAATTTATAAAAAAAAAGACTACTGCTTCCTTTTATTTATATGTGTTCCACACATTTAAGATAAATATCTTGATAAAAGTTTAGCAAAAACAAAACATTTTGACTAATTATGCTGATGATAACCTTCAATAATACACATATAAATATATACAAGTATCTTTAACGATGTGTTAACTTTGTTTTTGTTATTACATAGATAAGCTTTTGATGAAATCCAACCAAATGGGGTAGTAACTTCTCAATTTCATTATAGTCGAAGGTTACGAAATCATTCAGGAAAATAAAAGTTCACACATGATTCCTCTAATATTCAAGTCCCAAACCCAAATATATCAACTAAACACGTCTTTTTTTTTTTTTTAGATTTTGAATGTGATCTCCTATTCCTTGTTATAATTGATTTGGCTAAATTATAAACATAGAAACCAATTGTAGTCTCCTTCAAATATATTTTCTAATTTTCTATATGTTAATGGAGTGATTGATAAATGCGTTTGATGTTTTTGTTACCCATCTTAATAATATAACATGTATAATGTCAATTATTTGTCAATAAAGTTTTATAAGAATTTATTGTCAATTATTCATATACTTTGTGGTGGTGCTGTTTTCCTTACAATCTTATATTTTTTTCAATTGCTTTATTAGTATAACTTTTTTCATTCTTATATTATTGCAACAAGTTATTTCCTACTTACTTAGGACATTTCCTTAATAATCCCGATGTGAACAGATTAATTAGATGAATTTATTTAATATAAAACTATGCTTTCAATATTTTTAACTTGATTTTAAAATTTAACAAGATTAACAATGCATTATGAAGTGACTCCATTACATTGATGTATAAGAAACCCATCGTTATCGTCTTATCGAGTGATGACGCAGAATAGGTTTGAAACTTCATACGCAATTATAACACTTTGGTTACACGTCATTGACAAACAATAACAATTCAAAAATCAATGTATATATTGAAAACAATCATTTAAACTGTTTGGTCATACTCGTGACTAATATATCTTACATAAAAAATACCCTAACACTAAACGAAACTTCGTAGACATGATGATTTAGTAATTTATGTTAGATATAAAACTGTTAAGAAAATATAGCGTTTGAAGTTAATCTTTTTTATCATCATGTCTACGAAGTTTTGTTTAGTGTTTGGGTATTTTTGATTTAAGGTATATTAGTCACGAGTATGACTAAACAGTTTAAATGTTTGTTTTCAATATAAACATTGATTTTTGAATTGTTATTGTTTGTCAATGACGTGTAACCAAAGTGTTATAATTGCGTATGAAGTTACAAACCTACTTTGCGTCATCACTCGATAAGACGATAAAAATAGAAATTATGTTCATAATTTAGAAATATATAAAGAAAAACATTGGTGTAATTTAAAATAGCACTGACTTAATATTTGGTTTAGACTATGTACTAGATGTAGTCTTTTCATATCTGAAATGCCTACACCTGTTTGCATAGAAGTAATAAATAAATATACATGCATATTCATATTTACATATTCTAGGTTTGTAATACATTTTGTATATTATTCTAAATTTTAGTTTTTCATAAGTTTATTCTAAATTTCCACTTTCGTTTTATTGATTAAAAAATTTGTCCTTTTACTGACTATTCGAATTAAAATAAGTAAAACTAAGCCTTTGTAAAAAGATGGATTTGTAGTATACACAAAAAGACCACAAATACATGTAAGCGACAACTATAACTCAAATACATTAAACTAAGGCAACATATACACAACAAGAAACAGGTGTCTTTACAGTATTGAATACTTTTTTTCAAAAATGTTAGAAGATAAAACAGACAAAAAATTAATAAGTAGTCTTACGAGGGGTTAAACAAATACTATGTTTTCACAATGAAGTGCTCCTTCTCCCATCAAAAATTAAATATAAAAAAAAACAAACAAACAAAACACACGAAAAAAAAATGTATTTACAGGTAAATTGTGAAGACAAAAATATAGCAACATATAAATTTCTGTTTAGTCCTCAGTATCTTTTTGATGAAGAAGATAAACAATGAACACCTACCCATTTGTACCTAAAATACATTATCAAATTCTACAACTCACCATGGAAAACTACAACTCTACTCTATTGTCATTGTAAGATCTTCAACAGAATGTAACATCTGTATAGTTTATAAAATACATTCATAGATTGTTTGTTTTTTACGTCTCTGCCGTACAAAAAGCTTCATCGGGACAACATAAAATGGATACATGTACGTATAAAAGGTACAATGGCTTAATTTTTTTGCGTCACTTGATGAGTGCTTTGTGTGCATTATTCTCATCATCTGCACTCAAATCAAAACAGTCGGAAAGCTAAATGAAGAAAACACGTTACATTAAAATAAAAAAAAGGAGTTGGGGTCCTACAAAAGCAGGACATACTTTTGACCGCAACGATAATCATGTTGTGACATTCGCTTACATTTATGAATTCCATAAAAAAAAACGATTCCTGATCGAACAAGAAGGGTGACGATGTCTACACTCGCCGTCAATTACCGACCAATACCGTTGTTTTAAATCGAAACAATGCTACCTCCAGGACTAGGCATTCTTCTGACTCAAATCGGGAAGCATTTGTCTACTCTATCAAAAAGAATGGTTGTCTTTGTGTTAAGGGAACGCGGAAAATTGTTCCGTAGTAATGAATATCTATACACGATTGCATCTATGGAGTATGTGTATTCATCAGACATAAAAGCCTTAACTTCGATCCACGTTATATATTTCAACGCAAAAGAACAGCTCATTCATTGCTGTTTGTCATTTCAGAGTCAAAGTATAAGTGAGGACTGTATAGATACCTCAGCATAATAATTTTGTGATCACTTCATTGTCTTTGAATCCTTAATTTATATTTATTCAAAGAGTCAATACTACTGATTTCATTGAGTAAACTTCTTTGTTAGTTGAAAACCGAAGGTTTAGGAGCAAAGTGCATACAATTAGTAGCATCAGAATAGGCTTAGTATTGGAAAACATGATTTTTTAATAGTTGTATTTGGCTTTAAAATAGTTTTCAGAAACTGCAAGTACTCTGAAATCGAAACCCTGGGTACTTTTATCTCTGTTTTTACCTATTATGTCTGTTTGTTTTGATCACACATTGTTGTCAATATAATGGAATTCTATGCTACTGTAAAAAAAGTGAGAGGTTTAGTTAGCTATAAAACCAGGTTTAATCCACCATTTTCTACATTAGGAAATGACTGTACCAAGTTGGGAATATGACAGTTGTTTTCCATTCGTTTGATGTTTTTGAGCTTTTTATTTTGCCATTTTATAAAGGACTTCCCGTTTTAAATTTCCGTTGGAGTTCGGAATTTTTGTTATTTTATTTTTTCGAAATGACGAGTCAAGACCATTCAAACAGATATGTACAGGTTGTTCTAATGTGGTACTGTTGCACCTCTGTTCCATGTCAGATGAGTGTTAAGCACGCACAAACATGTTAAAATCCGCCAAACTTTGCAATGTGTGGGCCGACGTCAGGAGCATATTTATCAGTTCTTGTCGTTGGTTAGTATCTGATTCATTTGTTTCGTTTCTTGTTTAACATAAACCAGAGTGATGGTTTTCTTGTTTGATCTTTTTCGCGCTTTGTTGTACTAGGCCCAGTTATTGCTAACTACACAGTATTGGTTTTTCTCATTATTAAAGTCCGTACGGTGACCCATAATTGCTTGCATACATGTTGAATTATGGCTGATGTGAAATTGTTTCATTGTCAATCATACCTCGAAAGATGTTTCATTGTCGATCATACCTAAAATACGTATTGCTATTTTAAACTTAACAGGTTACTTTGAAGCGCATGCAACACTATTTACCACCAAAATAGAATAATTATTTGCAATAAATGTCTCATTTCAGGTGTTTGGTTTACTATTCTCGCTGTGTTCTAGTTTTCACAATGTGTGTCCCCACGTTTCTCAGGCGATAATTCGAGCGAAGATCTGTAAAAACTCGACAAAGTATGTGTGCTTCCGTGATATAAATAAACAAATGTATACGGAATTCTGCAACAAAACTGACGAAATTCAACAAGAAGGTAATGTAAAAGTACATGCTCTGAAGCAATTAGTATTAACTGTCAATGAATTTAATGCAATTAATTCAACTTAACACTATTAATTTGTTAGTCTGTTTATGAAGCGAGATGATATATTTCCTTTCACGTGTTGTCAGGACTAAACAGTAAAGTGAAGCACACCCGAAGGTTAAAGATGTTCCTGAATTTTCTCTTCATGGGTATATTATTAACCATTTTTACTATTGTTTTTTCACCATGTTCAGTTTAAATCGACGCAGATATGAAAATATTTGTGATCACGTGTACTTAATCAACATGTGTATCCATTCGATTTGCAAATATACATTCGATAAAAGGCTTCGTTATTTAAAACGTTGAATATTGTCAATGTCAATGCATAGCTTGTCCAATAACCAATTAAGCAAAGTTTAGTAAATGCAAAAGGGAATGGCCCCCAAAAAGTTATATAATATTTGAGGTTGTTTTTTTTTATAAAATAGTCTTGTAGTGACTTAACACGTGTATATTAGAAATTAGGGTCAATTTATACTTGGAACTCGAATTGTGAATCGACTGGTCGCTCGGCAAATAATAAATATATACTCAACCCATGTATGACCGTATATTCTTCATAACATATAATAATGTTTATCATGTTTATGCTCTGCACGTATATGAAAAGTGAGTTATTAATTTTAAATCATTTTTAAGGTTTCAAGACTGTTGTTAGAGGAAGTTTTGATGGTGTGCCATGTGATGAGAACCATTATCAACCGTTCAAATACAGTTCTTCCTATGGAAATACGTGTGTTTTTCTTAAATCTATATGCAATGAAGAAGGTCAAATTGAAAGCACTAATAGACAGACAACATCGGATAGAACTTGTTGTTGTGATTACAGATTTGGCTTTAGTTTTGTATCAAAGCCAAATAAATTGTGTTTCTGTGTGCCTTCTGAAGAAGATTGTTCTTGTTATTATAAGGAGTGTGGTAAAGATCAAGTACTGACACCAGGTAAATATTCATCAATTCTGTTGTCTTCCTATGCAAACAAATGAATAAATCTGTCATCCTACAAATATGTTTGGTTGTATAAGCAATGAGTGTAATTTATAACTCGTTTCTAGATTTGTAGCGATTTATAGCGAGCACTGGCACCTTACATGGTGGATGTGCTTGCTGAGAACAATTCCGGTTGTCATATGCTACATTACGTGCGATGATGCATGCAGGTCAAGATGGTCTTGACATCTGTAAATATATATGATTGAATTTTAAAATGAACAAAATCAAGAGCAGTTTAAGATAATATACAATTTTTGTAACACTGTTTAATGTCACAAATTGAGAAATAATAAAATATGAGACATATATTTTGAAATTTCAAGCCTGAGCTCTTAATAGAATTTATATACTTAAAATAGTAAAATCAAAATATATTTAACTTTTCAGCTTTAGTCATTGTTATATGGACACACCGATTAATTAAGGGTATCGAATCTAGCGAAATAGATTGAACTAGAATTAATAAAGCATTTCTAAAGATGTTAAGGGTCAGACATTAAGGCCAAAACGTTAAATAGCATTAGTTACTTTTTTTGTGTGTATTAACATTTTTCATAAAGACAATTCAGCAAGTTAGAACCGAAAATATAGATAAGAAGATTATCATTACTATGTTACTATTTACCAAATGCTTATTTTGCTAAATACCAAGTCTCAAATACCATAGGTCACTTTGTCAATTTCATGGAGCTGTTTATGTAAAAAAAATGTATTGGACCATATGATTCTTTGAATACTGGAATTGATTGATTAAGAAGTTGTTTATCGCTCTTAAGTAAGTAAACGAAGAAAAAATAAATTCACGCCTCATTTTCCCAACAAATTATGTCAAATATAGCTTGTCCAATCTATTGATACAATGTTTCATTGATACTACATTAAATTGATGGAGTTGTTTTCAAACGTAACTATTTACATGTCAGTATATATATCATGGGGACCAATTGTAGTTGTGGTTCCCGGATGAAATCGGCACATTATGCAAATTACTGACAAACCATATAACATGCAGGTGATAGTCGACCGTACCTTTTGAATTATTCGTGCAAAAGTCAACGAAATTTTATCTTTAGTAATATTATCAACGATGTTGTTGTTTTATTTTTTCATTTTTTTAGACTATGTTTGCATGAATACGGCTAATATAACAGGTCACTTTAAGTGTCCATTGATAAATGAATTAAAGGCAACTAAAACTGAAGAGACAAAAGTAATCAACAAACCTTACAAAGGTAACATTTCATTATTTCTGATATACCAAACAATAAGTTTTTGACCAAAAAGCGAATAAAGCTGACCCTATATTAACCTTACAAAATATTTTTACTTTTCCTTGTTGTGGATGTAAACTCAAAATCATCTTCGAATACTAAAAATGTATAAACCAAAAAGACCCGAAAAAATTCAGTGGAATGTACTTCACCAATGTTTCCTTTTTTATAGTCTGACGAAATTGTCTCTACGTAACATATTTAATGTAAACACTTGGTTTGTACATACGTTAGTTACAAACTGTACACATTTTCGTTTAAAAATAGATTTTAACACTCACAATTTCATCTGAATAAATTTACATGCGAGAAATAGTCATAGAGGTGAAACTGAAATATAATTTTGATCACCATCATACATCCAAATCCTATAAAGAACATGAAAATAATTAAAAAGAGAAAAAATGCATGACCTTGATTCGAACAAATCTGCTATTTTTGTTTGAAGACGTTATGTTTATTTCCCTATCTAAAGATATATTCCTGTGATTTTTACTCTTGCATTATGCCTATAACTGTATTTTTAAGATCCATGTCCACGACAGAAAGAACAAAATGCAATGATAAGACTATTGATGTTTGTAGTTGGAATCCAATTCGGTATGTGTTGAAATAAGGGAATTTAATATGGCCATTATAGGTGTGGGGTTTAGTTCAAAGAATTGGCAATCGAGATAAACTCGAAACCTGCTACAGGTCAACTAATGGTCATCAAAGTTCGACAAATGTTAGTACAATATGGCATCCTAAACAGCCATGAGTTTCCAAAGAAGTTGATAAATTTAATAGACAAATGGAAGTTTTTAACGACCTTGACTGGATATACATCCCTCGCACGGTCGGAATTTAATAGAGACTATCAAAGATCTGTTATCAAGTTAAACGTCAAATTTTCCAAATCACAAAAAACATTAAGATAGAACAAAAGCCAACCTATAACGACATTCTTGACTTGGGATAACCACTTGAACATGTGACGGGGTCATGCTAGTGTTTATATCGGAACCCTTTGTTATATTAATTGAAATGGCAGCATATAAAACGATTTGAATAACAGTAAAGCCACAAGGCTTTTCTATTGTTTTGAAGCGAGTAAACATATGTTTATATCTAGACCTACGATGTATATGATTGTCTTCAACTTGCAATTTAGTATTGACACTTCAACAAAAAAAAATAAATCAAACAATACATTCGCTCAACATGGAAGAAGAGGATACGAGGATACTTCATTTTTACATAATGAAAATAAAGCAGAAATGAACTTGTATGCCTCTTTTTTGTACAAACAATTATTGCTTTTTCAGGTCTACTCTGTTTGGTCATTTCTGTAGGTCTCATACGAAGTTTTAGTTCTGAGCGACAAGAACATGTAAGTGATACAGATATGACATACCGTACTTTAAAAAAAAATTATTAATTGTTAAGGGAATAATATTAGACATTTGACTATTTGTTCGTAGTTTGGTTGCTCACTCGTTGACCCACGTTTGCATTTATATGATTATGTATACTAAAATATATTTGTGTTTGACATAACAACTGCATTGGAATTACTTACATGTATGTTACAACAAAAATTAGCTTAATGTGTTCAACCGTACTTTTTTATTTCGTTAAAACTCAAATAGACCAGGTTATTCTATTCTTCTTTCTAAGATTTTGACACATATAGATTGTGTACATAAACATTGCAAAAGGATCTGTTTTATGGTCAGCTTTCCAGTAACCAATACATGTAAAAATAATACAAATTAGTAATTTCTCGCTAATTTCGTGCTAAGCTGAAGTTTGTATATTTTGTTAACTAAGGTTTGTTTCCCTTTGATTGAACTTTACTGTATACGATTTTGGTTTTTAAGTTTTCTCAAATTACATTGTTCATAAATTACCACAAACGGATCTGATGTTAGATTATATCTTTGTTCTAAACAATTACTAACACTGTTGTCAACATTTGTCTTTTCTATAAGTTTGCATTTATATACTAAGAACGAACTTTTTGAGATATTTCAAATAACAAACGTCGAAATAAATGCAAGTTATTGTTAAATTTGTAAACAATTTTGGAGATTATCTTTAGGTCTGAATCCACATCTGATTGAAACCACTGGTTGAACATACCTCATCACAATATGTCTGAAGACCATCTTTTACTGTAGACAAAATCGTGGTAACATTTTTAAAAGATGTTAGTTTGAACATCTGGACGACCCTAGCGTTATTTCGTTCTTTATAAAGATGAAAGATCTTCATCTTCCTTTCTTATGCTAATAACAAAACCTAACCGAGGACAATGAACAGGGGAGTCAAGCCATCACAGCTGTTTCCAACCTATACATTTATACATCAAAACACAACGATTGCTGCTATAAATAAATATAGAATATTTCGAAATATTTTCGTTTGTGACCCTTTGGTGACCACATGCTTCTAAATATCTATCGTATATATAAAACCTAGTTGGAAGGCATTTATGTAACTGACGAATGTTAACCTTATTTGAATCAGTTAATGAGTAGACTCATCTAAGCTGTTCTGCAATCAATTCTAATTGTAAATTCTTCTTCAGATGAAAAAGAAAAACACATGACAGGAAAAAAGGTCAGGATAAAAATGTATGTCACTTTATTTATATCTCGTTGATTGTTATATATATATATATATATATATATATATATTTGTTAGGATTTCTATTACGTTTATTCATAAATATCCTGCGTTAAAGAGAGCCGAATGATTCCAAACCGACTTTCAACATGTAAATTATTTATATTATAATACATTGAAACTGTTAATGTTGTCTGAGTAGTCTTTTCAATTTAATATCAGCAAAAACAAATTATCTTCTTTGTTTCAGTTGAATAATATGTGTGCAAGTTTCTAACCATGTGTTGTAAAAAAAACCGATTGCTAAAGTACTTTTGTAAGTTGCAAGTATGATATTGGAGCAGCTCGTTTGGTTGTAGATGGACCTTAAATATGCCGCAAAGTCCAAACTAATTGAGGAAGGAAGAATAAAAAGATGTGTTGGCTTAAACATTTGCATCAGCTCTTATGGCCACTATATACGGAGTGTCCGCCGAAATGTTCGGATAAAACAAATAGACGGAAAATCCGCTTTGACTATACTGACTTCAAATACAGGAGTGTGCTCCATACGCAGACACTGATCCAACAGTGTTATAAGGAGGAAAGATTAAAAATGACACTCCGTAACTTTTATGGACACGATCACGAATTGGTTGATCTATACGATGTGTCTGTGTCTAAACTAAGTAATGACATTTTTACCACGTTTTAGATTGTGGTTTAACATCTATGTTGTCTGTCTGCTAAGTACCAAACGTGACCTATTCCCAAATATGACTGTCATACCGAGTGTGAATTTGCATTGCTACACGACGTGTCTCGGTATTTTGTATCCAACATTCATGTATTTATTTTTGATGTTTCTGTTATGGTTTCTGTTGACTAATGCGTTATGTCTTATCATTTGTTGTCCAACTAATAATAAAATTGCCTTTTAATACCATCATTGTCATATTCCTGAATATGACTGTTATACCGAGTGTGAATTTGCATTGCAATACGACGTGTCTCGGTATTTTCTACATCCAACATTCATGTATTTTTTTTTATGTTTCTGTTAAGGTTTCCGTTGGATAATGTGTTGTGTCTAATCGTTTGTAGTCCAAATAATTATAGAATTGCCTTTCAATACCATCATTGTCATGAAAATTGTTTGGACGAGTATTGTGAAAATAATTGTATAAAATTCGAGATTGAATGTTAGTTACGTAAGCGCGTCACTGTTTTTGATATCCTGTGGTGTATGTCGTTGATGGAATATGTTCTTTGTTGTTCTGTGGTTTGCATGTTGTGTCGACTATTATATTATTTATTGGTGCATTTCTCTGTAATGAATGTTCTTACGTGTTTTTGTGCTGTATTTCTGTCACGTAGTTTGTTATTTTAGCGATATTTTTAACATTTTCATAAAGCGGGAGATTTGGCTAGACATTAAACCAGGTTCAACCCACCATTTTTCTTAAAATGTCCTGTACCATGTCATGAATATGGCAGTTGTTATCAAATAGTTCGTTTCTATGTATGTTGGCGTTTGTTTTTAAATGCACTTCAGTGTTCCCGTTGTTCCTTTGTTTTCCTCTTATAGTTGATGTGTTTCCCTCGGTTTTAGCTTGTAACCCGAATTTGTTTTCTCTCAATCGATTTATGACTTTTGAGACCGGTTTACTACTGTTGCCTTTTTTTTTTATACAAAACAACATCAGACTAAGAATATAAATATAGTTGAAACTGAAATAACTATTATATGAATGATTTAAACAAAATTCTGGTCTTCACTTTTTTAAGGGAACCACTGACTGGATGAAGACTGTTCATGCATATTCCCACGAGGACTGTTCGAAGGAATGGTCTCAGAAAGTTGCTCATTTGCATGGATTGTGATGTTTAAGAATACAAATTTGAAATTACTTATTCAATAAACAAAACATGAAAATATCAGCAACTTTAAATTGAACTGACTTGTAAATGATCTATTTTTATCATGGAATTATTTGTATAGGTCAGATGATATATTACTACAAGGACCTAGACGAAGCATCAACAGAGATTACCATTTTAACTTTAACAAAAAACAAACATTTTGGACGATAAATATATAAAATTTAATTCCTTATGATATTTAGTGCCTTTTAATACCATCAATTGGTATGGTCTTTTGGTATACCGATTTACGAAAGCATATAGAATTATTGTAAGACTACAAAAAGAAAAAAAAAACATCGTACGTGCCAGTTCTTATAACCAGTCTTTCATACCAAAACAGTATTGATATCTTAGCTTAAAAGTAACTTAAAAATAATTAATTTCCGTCGGTCATTACAAATGTACAACTAATGATGGAGGTCTAGAAAATTTTAATTCACTTTATTGTGACTACCTTTCAACAAACATGTAGTTCAGAATTGATATCTCATGTTTCATTGGTTGACCTCTTTACAAAAGACACTATCATATTGATTATTTACTTGGCTATATTTATATTATGAATTTGTCGTTCTAATCAATATTTGCATGCATGTACATACAATTGAGAATGGAAACGGGGAATGTGTCAACCAGAAAACAACTCCACCAAAAAGCAGAACACATGTATTCATATTGAAAGTTCATTTGAGGAAAAAACTGCTTTCCATAAACTGTTATGAGCTGTGTTAACTTCTACAGTTGTTCTGATGTATTTTAATTGCATGTTTTTATGTATGAGCACCATTTTTAATATACTTTTTATTTATTTAGAGGTGTTTTTATTTTTCATATATATCAACTAGAACACATCCGCGGGTCTGGGACTAAATTAAGGTACCTACGCCTTATTTTTATTCTACATTTTTAGTATTCGTATTGTCATATGATAAAATCTTGCTGATTATAAGGTGCACAGTTTTCTCTGCTTTCACTATCTTTCTGTTTGAACCCGTCCTGGTTTTCTTATTACAACCGGAAACTACATGTGACAATTGTTGAATTTAGTAATGTCAATCCCTGTATAATGACGAAGTTCATGTGTGCTTATGACCAGTGTATATAGAAAAATCCCAAATACACCGTTTGGTGGTACGCTAGACAGAGGCGAAACGTACAGACTAGGTAACAGATAACAGGTGACATATACTATTGGTATCGGTATCGTATTTGACCCTGAACTTGCTAATTTTTGGTAATATTAATTATGTGGAAACAAAAGGGCCTGGAATGGTGTAATTATTAATCAATACCATTGTCCTATATTAGTTATATTAAAGTTGAGTTCTTTGATTCGTCGTTCTTACGTCATGCCGGCTAACAAATGGGACCTCGTTATTTTAGTAGTAGAATAGATGTTGGTCATAACTGGATTTTGTTTGTGACTACACATACATCAAAGAGTCGTGTCGTTTTGTTGAATTGATTATAGTTTGCTACACATTCAAGATTGCTCAAATAGAAATAAACTGTACGTAAAGTGTCCCTTTGAAAACGGCTATGTTCGTTTTGGGAGAAATTTGATCTATATGTGAAAGGTATTCTTATTGGCACCTGTTGCGCCTCTTTCATATCTATATTATCGTAAATCACAGTTTATGGACAAATTCAGTAAACATCCATCTTGATTTAATTCGGTCGACAAATCAAACAATAGTTACAGTTATACGTTGATGATATATTAGCTTTATAAAATCTGACACGCTCTTATATTGCAGAAGATATCCAAAAGGAACTTACTTTAATGTAATCTAATATATGCTTCAATAAATTTCCATTCCTAGATTTAGATATTTCAGTTACACAAGGGAAACTCTATGAAATCATTAAAGAGAGGAGGTGCCATTGTTTGTATCTTATATTTAATTGTTGTTTTTTGGACTGTGATGTGTTTTCTGTCTGAACTAGTATACATATTTGTTTAGGGGCCAGCCGAAGGACGCCTTCGGGTGCGGGAGATTCTCGCTGCATTGAAGACCCATTGGTGGCCTTCGGCTGTTGTCTGCTCTATGGTCGGGTTGTTGTCTCTTTGACACATTCCCCATTTCCATTCTCAATTTTATCTATGATATTTTTTCTTATGGTTTGTATATTAAACAACAAGGTTTGTCGACCTGCAGAAACCTAAAAACAAACGTGATATCAGATCATTATTGTTACAGTAATGATATTTATAGAGCCGTGCTTTCAGATACGATCCATTTAACCTTATTGATCCTTTGGATAATCTCAAAGGTTATTAATTATTCACTGTAGTAAGATCTCTGAGTATTGTCTTTATCGGCACTAAAATTGGTTTGGCTATTAATAAATAACAACATAACTTATTATGTTCTGCTGAGCAGTCACGAACAAGTACGGTCCGACAGTCTGTATTGTTTTATATTTAGCATTGCACAGACTATTTATTGCGATTTTACAGTAAAAGAAATGAATCTAAAACATCTTAAATATTGAGTTTTTCTGTATCAACCTTCATCAGGAATGAGCATATATTTTTTTAGAATTTATACTGTCTTTCGGGAAATACTGTATTCTGGTCTTACGTTAACGTTACGTGTCAATATAAAGTTAATTCAAATGTTGTATAACAATGACGGATTCATCTTTGTAATGATTGTATTGGAAGGAATACACAGATAAAGAAATATCATCATGATTTTTCAATGTACATTAGATAAACTATTTATGCAAGATATGTGTTGTAAACACTGATTGTTATACAGTTATTATCGTTGATCTTCCTTTTTGGTCCGCGCCTTGAATGTTCTTTTGTGGGTTATTTCTTTTGACGTTTTTCTCTTCTATAATATGTTAATGTAGACGTGACCAATACCAAAACAAGTGTCAGTGATCCAGTGCAAACAGTATACAGAAAAACACTATTTACTGTATCTGAAATATACAGAAAGGTAATTAGTTTTACAAAAAAAGTGAATCGGATATATTGTCGGCATTGCTTATTTCCAAATAAATAAATTTTCAGGAAAATGACAAGTAGAAAAAATAGCACTCAAGGGCTGACGTTGTATAAAGTTATGAAGGGTTATTAAATCAAATTTTCGAGGGACGTGTTGGACCCCTTATTACCAGTAATGGTAACAATATTTCTTTCTTTGGAATTAATTCTCGTAGGACGCATAATCGTAGGTCCCCCCAGCGTCAACATATAAGACCACATCACCTCGTAAAAGCAGAAAGAGGTTATCAAAATTGGCTTTCGTATAGAATTGTGATCATTGTGATTAATTGTTACATGAAGTGTAATGCTTTTAAAAAAACACACCCAGAGGAATACACTAAATAATTATTCCTAACAGAATACGTTTCCTAGAAGACATTCGATGGAATCATTGATATGATACCGCATGAAAGAAATTACAGTATCAATATAACTATGAAATCGGCAATTAAGCAATGATATCAAGTCCTCAAGAGGTCAACAGAGGACAAGTATTTGTAAAAATAATCTGAGGCACTCGAAACGTCAAAAGGGTTCACGTGTCACTTTGAATTAATCATCAAGTACTAACAGGGTCAATTGCATAACAGCGTTTGCACAAAAAAACTCAAGTATTCAAGTGGTCAACAGCAGTAAAGTGGTTACATAATAATGGAATAACTTTATATTTACAAGATATCAAACGTAGCTACAACATGATAGGCGCTTAATTACCTGAGTCTATACAAGTAGCGAATACACTGAGCATGAGTTATTAGTTTGTTTGCAGTTTTTGCAGATATAATTTTTTTTTGAGAGGACAAAACATATAAATATATTTTCAGACTGCCACTGATGACTTTCATGACACAAAAGAGGCACACAAATAATCACATGTAACTAGGATGCTCACTAATACTATTTATATTTAAAGATATCAATGAAAAAAAGATATGATGAATAAAAGGTCGACAAACTTTGGCCAGTAGTTGTTTAAGTTCGAGGCAAGTACTTACATTATTGATCAAAGAAAATCATTT